GCAAGGGGCGAAGCGGGAGGGGGGTGGGTGGGTGGGTGGTGGGGTTGATCAGCTCTCGAAGCTCCCTCGCTAGCCTGACCACAGGGCTCAGGCTTCCGGATGCATGTGGCTCAGCTAGCGTACAGTCGGCTAGTTACGGCTGGCTGGCTAGCCAGTTCAGTTAGTTGTGTCAGTTCAGTTGGCAAGCCAATCGCACTACTGACGCCGGGTGTGCATCCGCCCATGTTGGTCATTTTATTTGCCTTGCCGTACAACGATGCCGTACAGGTCTCTGGTGGGTCCGCGGCGGTCATGGACCGGGCGGCACTTACGGCGGTGTCGTCGTCCCGGGCTATGCACATCACCCGGGTGAGTGTCTGTGTGGGTCTCTTTGTGGGTTTGGGGAGAACTCAAAATTGCGGTGGGAACGGGGCTGCTGGGCCGAGTCGGAGTGGGAGGCGGAGGCTGCTGGACGATGCGTTCTTTTCCCACACGAACCGCCCCAACCCGCAAACCCGTTCCCACCTCAATTTTGAGTTCTCCCCACACCCACACAGACACCCACACAGACACACACCCGGGTGATGTGCCTCTCCCGCGCTGCAGGCCCCCATATTCGCGCCGGTCAGTCAGGCGGTCACCCGCCGAGTGGCGTACCACACATTTGCACACGTGCTTAATTTGGACACCAAGTTTCATATTGACCGCCGTACGGGACGAGTGTCCAGAATCTTGGAGAGGGGTACGTACGGCGTGGGTTTTAGGAGAGGGGTGTTGGTACGGTATTGGATGGGGTACGGACAGAGCTATTTTGGGGCTTTGGGGGTCGGAGGGGCTCTGCTCAGATTATAAAAACACACACAGATACACACATATAGACACACATACATACACACACAAACAAACACACGCACATACACCCCACACACAACCTTGTTCTGTACACCCACCGGAATACGTACATTATATCTCCTATACATCCCCAACACAAATCTGTGTACAACCAACATCTGTTTATTGTGTTATATTGTTGCACAATGTGCATGAGTAAGATGGTGTGGTAGCAGCTTGTACATAGTACGGCACACATGACGTCTACAAATGCGTGCTAAGGCGCTCCGCCAGTATCTTGACCCCAGCTCCCTACCGGCCCCCGTCCCGCAGGCACCCGGTCCATCGGCGTGCTGTACCGCGCCCTCATCTTCACCTTCCTGCCCACGGGGTTGGAGCTGGGGGCGGTGGCGGGGCTCCTGGCCTCGCGCTTCGGAGCGCTGCTGGCGGGGCTGCTGGCGGCCACCTTCGCCGCGTACGTCACCTGGACGGTGGGCATGACGCAGAGGGCGACAGACGTGCGGAAGGTAATGTTTTTTGTGTGCGTACGTGTGTGTATGTGTTTTGTGTTTTGCGGGGGACCCGGCTTTGCAAGAAGGGATGGAGGTGGGGTGATGATTGCGGGTTGTAGGGGTGGTAAGGTGGGGGGGTGGGGGGTTAGGGGGGTATCCTCCGGTGCATGTGATCCCCAGGGGGGGGAAAGAGTCCCCTCTCTCTCCGGGGGGGGGGAGGGGCTGCTGCCTTAGGGGTGGTGCAGTGGGTGTGTACGACACATGTGGTGGATATGTATCAAACTACCGGTGTCATCTCCACCATCATCACCATCGTCATCTTACATTCCTCCTGCACTTGCGAGAGCTCCTTACCGCTCCTTTACAAAGGGCCCTTCCCCCCCCCCGCGGCCCCCCACACACACTCACTCACTCACTCCTACCCCCGGCTACCTACTCCCCCTCCCCCGCCCCCCCCCACAGGAGGTCAACCACCTGGACAACCAGGCCAGCAGTAAGGCGGTGGATGCACTGCTCAACTTTGAAACAGTGACGCTCTTCAACAATCAGCGACTTGAGGTACGGCGCCGTACGGCCGTACGGCAGCCAGTTCTGCCATTGGCAACACACACTACCAGTACTGCATCTTCTGTCGTGTGGCGATTGTCATGATGACGTTGCGATGACGTTGTGGCCAGGACGGGTGGTGGCGCCGTGTTGCGGTGGTGGGTGTTTTCCACCATTTTTCACCCCGCCGTTACACACACACACACATACTGTGCGTGTGTGTTCATGTGTAAATGTGTGTGCCACGGTGGTTTGGGGAATGAA